GAAAAGCAGCCAACCCAGCCAAACCACCATCCTTCCTGGAGGGAAACTGGATCTGTAAGCAAAGCAATGCAGGGGGATGTGTAGACGAATTGCTAAACGGTCTTATTGAATAAAAAACCCAGAACCACGCCGGGCGGTGGTGGCGCACGCCTTTAATCCCAGCACTCGGGAGGCAGAGCCAGGTGGATCTCTGTGAGTTCGAGGCCAGCCTGGACTACCAAGTGAGTTCCAGGAAAGGCGCAAAGCTACACAGAGAAACCCTGTCTTGAAAAAAAAGAAGAAAAAAAAAAAACAAAAAAAACCCCAGAACCAGATATCGGGGTTAAAACCTGAGAGATCAGAGGAATAGGAAAAAGCACAGTCAACCTCGCCTTACCAACCCTCAGCTTCTAAAAGAGACCTACTTCCTGTCTACCCATGCCTATATTCCTCTCTGTTCTGCTATCTCATTGCTCTCTCTGTCCAGCTACATCACTTCCTCTTCCTGCCCAGCTCTGTCACTTCCTGTCTGGCTGTCCAGACCTCCAAACCTTTATGGTTAACTAGTGTTGGAATTTAAAGCGTGTGCCACTACACCTGGCTCTGTTCCCAGTGTGGCCTTGAACTGACAGAGATCCTGACAGATCCCCGCCTCCTGAATGATAGGATTAAAGTCATGTGCTACCATTGCCTGACTTCTATGTTTAATATAGTGGCTGGCTTTGTCCTCTGATCCTCAGATAAACCTTACTGGGTTGCACAAATAAAATATCACCACAGGAATGGACCTGGGAGATGGTTCAGTGGGTAAGAGCATTTGCTGCTAGAATAACTCCAGCTCTGGGGGAACACACACACACACACACACACACACACAGTGATTAGAGGTGAATGTCTGGAAGGCAGTATCCCTAGACAGAAAGATTCTGGGCTGCTACTGAGGTCCCCAGAACTCTCCTCATGGCTCTTCTGCCTCAGACCCTGTCAGTCAGTTCTTTGTTTGGGTGGACTTGATGTACTCCACTCAGTAGGCTGAATGGTGGCCTCACATGTCCCCCAGGAATCTCTGGGACCTGTAAATGTCACCTTATTCAGAATGTGGTCTTCTTTGCAATTGTGTTTAAAAGGATCTTGAGATGACATCATCTGGGATCATCCCCCATGATTTCTAAATGTCATCAAAAGTATCTTTATAGGAGAAAAGTGTTGGGAAATTTAACACACAGTGGAAAATATGATGCGATGCCAGGGGCAGAGACGGGGGTGATGCCAAGGGCTGAAGAGGTGGCGGGGGGGGGGGGTCTCTCCTCCTACAGTTCCCAGAAGCAGAGCCCTGCTCATACCTTGATTTTAGAGTTGTGGCTTTAAGAACTATGTAATCATACATTTGTTTTAAGCCACTGAGTGTGTGGTAATTTGTTATAGAACCATTACAAATGAATATACCTTCCAATTCTTTTTTTTTTTGGCTAGTTTCTAGTGTTTGCAACCACGGACTCGTACTTGTTGCCGTCACTTGTAGTTAGAGTTTTCCTGCCTGGCCCAGAGTCAGGGCAAATCTCTCTCACCTGCCAGTCCCACAGCCGTCAGACCCGACCAAGTAAACACAGAGACTTGTATTGGTTTCAAACTGTATGGCCATGGCAGGCTTCTTGCTAACTGTTCTTTCAGCTTAAATGAATCCATTTCCATTAATCTATACTTTGCCACATGGCTCGTGGCTTACCGGCATCTTCACATGCTGTTTGTCATCGTGGCGGCTGGCAGTGTCTCTCTGACTCAGCCTTCCACTTCCCAGCTTTATTCTCCTCCTTGTCCCGCCTACACTTCCTGCCTGGCCAATGGCCAATCAGTGTTTTAATTATTGACTAATCAGCAACACATTTGACATACAGAACATCCCACAGCACTTCCCCCTTTTTTTTTTCAAAAAGGAAGGTTTTAACCTTAAAAATTAAAATTACATATAATTTGGGAATTTGGGCATAGCTTCTCTTACTACTTCCTGCTGGAGGGGGGCGCTGTATCTTATGGGGACACAAAGAAAATTTTAGGATTATGGAATAGTCCATGAAGCTGTAACGTCTGAGCCAGTTGCCTTGAAACCATTCTGGATGTTGGATCATCTGGGCCATGGTGTCATCGGAGACCTTTCAGGGGGTTTGGCTGGTCAAACCTGATGTATCTTAATCTTGAACAAATCCATAGCCTCTGGCTTTCTGTGGGAACAGAAGCAGAGACTCTTTTCCAAAGCAACATATCCTTATATCCAAATTTTGAAGTCAAGGTACCTTTAAAATATACATATTGGCATAACTCAACAGCTTTTACAATCAAATGTTTTTCTGCAGTTAAAAGTCCCAAAGACAACACAATGCAGATTCTCTGTGTAATATCCATTTTTACGTGGCTTATTTTTTATACTACCTTTACCTTCTCTTTAAAGACTTTATTTTTTAAAACTATGTATTTGTTTCTATAACTCTATATATCACCTTTTTTGTCTCTTTCAAGCCTACATATCTTTTACACACATTGTAAACTATTACATCTGAATCTGTTTATTGTGAATCTATTTCTTTAAACTGCAGCAGCTGTGGCTGCTGGATCCACCCACCTCAGCTTCCCAACATGGCCATGGTTTACCGCCAGCTCTGGGAGCTATCGGGGGTCTATGCTTTTAGCCAAGCAGCGTGTAGCCCAGAAACCTCTTTTTTGTTTTGTACTAGCAAAGGCTAAATCCACCACTCAGCTTAATGTGCTGCTTGCAGAGGCCTCATTCCTGCCATATGGCAGGTCGAGCACGCACAACAGAAACCCACAAGTAGCTCAAACCGGCAGCTGCCGCTCATTTGAGAGAGACAATTAGGAAGCTGTTTTTAGCTCCATTTTAGAATCTTTTTTTCTCAGTTTTTAGGTGGAAACTCTTGCCACCACGTTGGACGCCATTTGTAGCTAGAGTTTTCCTGCCTGGCCCACAGTCAGGGCAAATCTCTCTCACCTGCCAGTCCCACAGCCGCTCAGACCCGACCAAGTAAACACAGAGACTTGTATTGGTTTCAAACTGTATGGCCATGGCAGGCTTCTTGCTAACTGTTCTTTCAGCTTAAATTAATCCATTTTTATAAATCTATACCTTGCCACATGGCTCATGGCTTACCGGCATCTTCACATGCTGTTTGTCATCGTGGCGGCTGGCAGTGTCTCTCTGACTCAGCCTTCCACTTCCCAGCTTTATTCTCCTCCTTGTCCCGCCTACACTTCCTGCCTGGCCAATGGCCAATCAGTGTTTTAATTATTGACTAATCAGCAACACATTTGACATACAGAACATCCCACAGCACCTGGCAGCCAGCTCCAGGCTAGCAGAGGCAGGTGTTTGGGCACGGGTCTCTGTTTGTGTAACAGTTTCCACCAATGCACCAGAGCAGCAGAGAGCCACTGCATTGCTGCTGGGATGGCAGACAACCTGCAGCAGACAGTCGTCCCCCCCCCATCTGCCCCCATGCCACGTTTAGAGTTCTGTTTGAAGGATCAGAAAGTCTGGTGTGTGTTAAGCCAGGCCAAAGGAGCGTGCGGGAAGCTTTCCAGTCTGTCCCTCAGCTGGGCACAGCTGGACACAGATGTTAGGAGGCGAGTATGCTGGAAAGATGATTAACATGGTGAGCTCCCCAGAGGCCTTTTGGCTCAGCTCCTGTGTCTGCCACAATCCGGAGACTGGGGATCATGTTGGGCGTCTGTTGTGTACTCTCGTTTGGAATACTCTTCCCTGGAACCCATTTACCCTTATTAGAGCAGGTTAGACTGTCTGTCACTCAGGAAAGCATTCTCTGATAGTCTCAGGTTACGGACTCTGGTAGAGTACACATGCTCCTGGTTTCCTACCTAGTAAAGTTAACTGTTATGAAAGTTTGTGACTATTACATTTGAGTCTGTCTCCCCAACTAGTTCCCTTATTAGTAGAGGGACGTTTGTGTTCTCTACCATGACTACCTCTTGAACCTGGTAAGCAGTCAGGCAGAGGTCCAACAGCCAAGGCAAATCTGACATGGTCAAAGAGGGTGGAACATGATGACTTGTATGAGAGGGGACAGAGGAGAAGCTGTGGGACACTGGAGAGTGCATTCCTCCTCCAAAGGCATTGGAAAACATCTGAAATAGACTAAAATTACCGTGCATCTGAAGGGAATGTAGGTCACATGGGGAGCCTACGCTTACGACTCTTCCAATAATGATCCGTTAAATGAGTAAGTGACAAACCATGATGGAGTCATTGTTAAAAGTTCCCAAACCAGCCGGGCGGTGGTGGCGCACGCCTTTAATCCTAGCACTCGGGAGGCAGAGCCAGGCGGATCTCTGTGAGTTCGAGGCCAGCCTGGTCTCCAAAGCGAGTTCCAGGAAAGGCGCAAAGCTACACAGAGAAACCCTGTCTCGAAAAACCAAAAAAAAAAAAAAAAAAAAAAAGTTCCCAAACCAAAGCAGGGCTGGGGATGGACTGCCCTGTGGGCCTCCTTTCCAATGTTGTTCACACTCTTTCAAGAGCAAGGTCTCTCTCTATTTCCTCCTTCCTCCCAGTACCTGGTGTCCAGCAGGCTGTAGCGATTGCTCAGTCTAGGCAATATGGACTAACCCACCCTGCCCTGATCTTGGGGATGAGCCAGATGATGTCTTCTACCTTGGGGTTCAGTGTGATGGAATAGCTGGGGCCTCCAGGAGGCCCTGATGATAGAGAAATGGGTGCTTGGTTGCAATGTGTAAAAAGGTAGGGACCGGACCCCTTCACAACTTGTTCAGCCAAAGGGATAGAAGATTTGGCAGGGGAGTGTAAAAGATTTACCTCTATCAAGGATGATGGGACCAGCACTGGCCAAAAAGGATAAGAATCTCAAACATTTGCCTGGGTACTACTCATGGCAGGGCTAGAGTTCTGTGTGATGGACAGAGGGAACTCCCCAAGGGTAGAATGGGAGCTGTGGTAGTCAGGTTTTATTGCTGTGATAAAGACCATGACCAAAAGCAACTTGGCGAGGAAAAGGTTTATTTGACTTACATATCCCAGGTCATCGTCCATAGAGGAACGCCAGGGCAGGGATTCAAGGCAGGGACATGGAGGCAGGGGTTGAAGCAGAGACCATGGAGGAACACAGCTTACTGACTTGCTCCCATGGCTTGTTCAGTTTGCTTATACACCCCAGGACCACCTGCCTAGGGATGGTACTGCCCACAGCAGGCTGGGCCCTCCCATATCAGTCATTAATCAAGATAATGTCCCACAGGCTTGCCTACAGGTGATCTGATGGAGGTGTTTTCTCAGTTGAGGTTCCTCTTCCCGGATAACTTTAGCTTGTGTCAAGTTGACAAAGACCAAGCAGGACAGGAGCACACACAGCAGCCCTCTGCCACCAAGAGCTCAAAGCTGAGCTGGTTATAAGTTGGTTCCTCCTCCATAATCTTCTAGGTCACCAGTTGTGACCGATGGGCTAGGATCTAGTTCTGGGGACAGGGGTTGGCCACCTTTCCCAAGCAGGTATAGAGTTGGGTCTAAGTCCCAGAAGGGTCTGTTCAGGTCTCTGTGTAAGTCAGCCCTAGGAAGTAGTGCTGAAGACGGTTGTGCTATGGACCCTACAGATTGTGTAAGGACTCAGCCTCCAGCTCCTTCCTGAGACTTAGTGTTAAAAGATGACTTCTTTATAGCAGCTCTGTGACATTTGGGTGAGCTTCAGTTCCCTCACCTGTGAAATGGGGATAATTATCTGCCAGCACAGGGCTAACGGGGCTCATATAGAGGCCATCCTCTTCCTCCTCTTGGTGCGTATCTACTTCAAAGGAGGTTGTTGTGTACTATCCTGCCTTGGGCTTAGATCTCATTGCTCAGGTGGATGACTCCCATGCAGAACTTAAGCAGGGGAGGGCTCTGCTCTGTTAGCTGACTCTGAGGCTGTGGGGAGGGAATGCAGAGCCCTGGTTTTAATAACTCTGAGGTTTTGCAGGCTCACTGGGGGCCTGGGTCTCCAGGTCTGTAGACTGCCCCTCCTGAGAAGTCTCTCGAGATGTTTCCAGAGATACCTCTGATACCCCGTCCACGCTGCTCAGCAAGTCCTCAAAAGACCGCTGCCCGCTGCTCCGCACGGCGGCCTCCAGTGCCTTCTGGCGCCGGTAGAAGTGGGAAAACTTGTTGAAGATGATGGTGATGGGGAGTGCCACCACCAAGATGCCACCTAGGATGCAGCCTGAGGCCGCCAGCTTGCCAGCCACAGTCTCCGGCACCACATCCCCATAGCCCACTGTGGTCATGCTCACGGTGCCCCACCACCAGCAGGCAGGGATTGTGTCAAAGCCCACGTTTTCTTCTTCAGCTGTGTAGGCCACACCCGAGAATACTGACACACCCACAGCCAGGTACAGCAGTAAGATGCCCACCTCACGGTAGCTGTGCTGAAAGAAAATATATGAGCCCAAGTCAGAGCTATCTGGACTTATATTATTGGGAGACACTGAGGCTTACGGAGTATAAAAGGATATCCGACATCAAAAGGTAGAACTGAGTATAAAAGAATATCCAACATCAAATGGTAGAACTGAGTATAAAAGAATATCCAACATCAAATGGTAGAACTGATGGCAAGACTCTGACTCTGAACTGCACTCTTCCAACTACACTAAGCAACAAAACTCGCTGTGATTGAATGCAGGCCCGATTTCTATGCAGATGGTAACTGCTTGGCCACACGAATTGACATCCTGGTGTTTTTTTTTATGCACTCACACAACCAAGAGAACCACAGTTTATATTTCATAATGCAAAGAAATGGTTCCGTGTGTGTTTGAATTGCTCTATAACATTTCTGACAAGTACAAAAATAATGTCTGCCCCACAAGGAAACTGAGAGGAGATGAGTTCCCTAAGCTATCTAAAGAATAAATATACTTTTAATGGGTGCCTGATTTTCAAACAAAGCAGTTCTGCTCACCTTGCCCACCAAGGGAGTACTTGGTTGTCATAGTGGGCACAGGCTGGCATGCATGCACACAGGCCAAGGATAAGGCTTAGTATTTATCTCACAGAACATAAGACACCCTCCTCCCCAATGAAGAATTAATTACCTGTCCTCAAATGTCACCAATGCTGAGAACCCCTTTTCTACAGCAGGGTCTCTCAAACTATAACATATAGAAGAATTATGTAGGGGGGTCTGTTTAAAAGCTAAAACTCAAGTAGGTCTGGGGTAGAGCCAGAGATTCTGCCTTTCTGGCAACCTTTGAGGAAGCTGTTGATGGTCTGGGACTTCACTTTAGTTACACCTGTGTCTTACTCTCACAGCTCTGGTTATCACTCTTCCTCCTCCTTGTGGATAAAGCTAGGAGCCTCAGCTCTGATTCTCTGCAAAGTAGGAAGGTGTGGGGAGCATAAGGCTCTTCCCTAGGGTGAATCTGAATTAAAGGGGTCTGGCTAACATATTTCCCCGTAATTGCTTGGTACCCGAGGGTTCTTCCCAGGTCACACACCAGTGGCTAGTATCCTGGCTGCCCTGCATTATTAGGACATACAAGATGCTGTGTCATCAAGGTTAGGAGGGACTTGTGAGTGCCTTTCTGGGGATCCTTCACAGTGTTGCCTAGGGCTTGGGAGAGCACAAAAGGCTGAAGCTGGGCATGGCTGGCTTGTTCTCTGGGGTCCACCACTTATTAAGGAGCCTCCCACAAGTCCTATCACCTCTTAGAACCTCAGTTTCCACATCTGTAGTGACAATACAAGCCCCTCACAGGCTCCTCAGTGCCCTTGGAACAACAACAACAACAACAAAAGAAACAAACAAAAACATGGGCCCAGAGTTCATGCCCCTCAGTACCTCAAACCCCCGAATCTCCTCCTCCTGTGTCCCCTCTGCTGACATTCACTCTGTTCCCTTATCAGATTGTGGTACAAGTTGTTCATGTTGCCTCCTTCCCTGAACCAGGCTAATTTCACCCCCTGAGCAGGGCCAGTGGCCAATAAACTGCAACCAGGCTTATAAAACAACCTCACCACCCCAGGATCTTCATTTACGGGAAGAAAATAAATTATAGCATCTTCCCAAGGAAATTGTCCTAAGGACTAATCAATAACGAATGTGAAATTGGCATGGAACACTCATTCTGTGCATAGTAAGTGTTAGCTCTAGGCTATTTCTAGGCTAAGACTGACCTGAGACTACCTGTGCCTTCCAATGATGCTAGAGGAAAGGCGTCAAAAGAGAAGCCAGTTAGCATCCTGCTTTGCATATTTGTTTGCGCTGTTTTACTTGATATTTGACAGGTACATCAAAAGCCCTTCCTCTTTTTCCCTCTCTTTCCTTCTCTCTCTCTCTCTCTCTCTCTCTCTCTCTCTCTCTCTCTCTCTCTCAATAGTGGTTCACTTTAATTTTTAAAAGTTTTATTTAGGGGCCTGGAGAGATGGCTCAGAGGTTAAGAGCACCGACTGCTCTTCCAGAGGTCCTGAGTTCAATTCCCAGCACCCATATGGTGGCTCACAACCATCTGTAATGAGATCTGGCGCCCTCTTCTGTATACATGATAAATAAACAAATCTTTAAAAAAAAAAAAAAGTTTTATTTAAAATTATGTGTATGCCTGTGGCTATATGCATGTGTGTCTGGGTGCCCACAGAAGTGCTGGAATCCACTGGAGCTGCCGTCAGAAGTGACCGTCAGCCACCTGATGTGGGTGCTGAAAACCAAACTTGGTCCTCTGCAAGGGCAGAACCCGCTCTTAACCACTGGGTGATGTCTCCAGTCCCATGGTTCACTCCATTTTATTTTCTGTATTTATTTATTTTTATATATTAATTTTTCTGTATTCTTCTGGGGGACACACAGGTAGCACCAAGCCCTTCTTCTATTTATTTACTTATATATTTTTGGAGATTTATCTTTATTTGCATGCAGGGGTGTTTTGCCTGCATGTGTATTTGTGCACCACATGTGTGCAGTGCCTGTGGAAGCCAGAAGAGGGCATCAGATGCCCTGGAACTGAAGTTACAGACTGTTGCGAGCTGGGTGCCAAACGTGAATCCTTTGGAAAAGCAGTTAGGGCTCTTAATCGAGTTATCACTCCAGGTCTGGTAACCTTCTTTACGAAGTCATGGGGTTAGATTAGGGTGAATATGAATGTATACCTGGCCTCTTGCCTTATGCCTGGCTCAACAGGTAGCATCTTAGTCCATGGGTACCTGTATTTGGCAAGGCTACAAATGCAACAACTAGCCCATCCTGCCCTACATCTTCCCTCTGCCTCAACCCGGCCTCAGCCATCCTACCTTGAGTGTGGCGCCCAGCGAGCGTAGCCCAGTGGAATGGCGTGCCAGCTTGAGCACACGGAAGATGCGCATGAGGCGGAACACTTGCACCACCTTGCCCAGATCTCCAAGCTCCTCTCCGCTGGCTCCACGCCGGTCACCAAGCGCCGCGCCAGCCAGCAGTGTGAGATAGAAGGGCAGCACCGACACAATGTCGATGAGATTGAGCGGGTGACAGAAGAAGTTGCGCGTGCTAGGAGCCAGCAGCAGGCGCGATGACACCTCGAAGCTGAACCAGGCGATGCAGAAGTACTCCAGGCGGCGCAACACCGGGTCATCGCGCACGTCCTCTGCACTGCGACCCGCGGCCACTGCCGCCACTGCTGCCGCTGCCTCCCGGGCTTGGTACTCCGGCAAGCTGTGGATGCACATGGCTGCGATGGAGGCGAGCACCACGCCGATGGACACACAGCTGAAGAGCTTGCTGGGCAGCGAGTAGCCCGGGTTCTCCATAGTGAGCCAGAGGCGGCGGCGCAGGCGACCGCAGCGGGCCGCACCGTAGCGCGCCAGCTCCCGTTGCACATCGGAGATCTCGTCGGGGCATGGGTCCACGCTGCTCGGCGCGTCGCTGTCCTCGTCCCAGGCGCGAGGCCTTGTCACCCGCCGCTCCAGGTAGCGTGCGCGGCAGCACGTGGCCAGTGCATTCTCGCCCAGGCCCCAGTAGTCGGCCTCCTGGCCGAAGGCGAAGACGCACAGCTCGTCCAGCACGTGCAGGTGGCCGGTGCGGTAGAAGTGCAGCAGGCCGAGGAAGAAGCCCGGGTGCCGATCGAAGTAGAACTCGCGTGCCACTGCATCATAATCATCGCACAGGCGCCGCGCCTGCTCCTCGGACGCCGCCGCCTGTAGGCGACCCAGCCGTGTGCCAGGGAAGCGTGCTAGAGCATGCGCGCTCAGCAGCCGCCGCACTCCGCCCACGTTCACACGCAGTGCCTCATCTCTTGGCCTCCAGGGCACCCTGGAGCCCGGCCCCGGGGATTCGCTCACCATGGCTCAAGTGTGCTGCCCTGTGGGTTAAAATCCATGGCTCCATCCACCAGACGGGGTGCTGGAGACTGTGTGAAGTGCCAGGCATGCAGTAGGCACCCAGATATGGAATGCCCCCTGGACTGAAGTCAGGCCTGGGTCTGAATATTCTTCACCCCCAGACTTGATGACTTTGACTAAATCACCCATCCTTCCCATGCCCAACCTATTTCCTCCAGGGTACAACAGATAGGAGGCCTACCTTAAAGGGCTTTAGAAGCGATGGGGTGGCGGGATGGCCTGGCATCGGCTAGGCGCTAGTGTGGGACATCTCTCCTCTTCCTGGTCAAGCTTGGGCTTAGGAAACCAGATGTGTATGGTGGCTCTTCTGAACCTCAGTATCTTCCTCTGTAGATGGGGTTAGTTAGGGCTTACTACCCAGGATTATTAAGAAAGTCAGCTGGGAGACTCTTGATTCTCAGATTGTGTTCCCTGGACTAAGAGCATCTTTATCACAGGAGTTGGTCAAAGATGCATTCTCAGTCTGCCCTGATTTTGATGACCTCTGAGGTGGGAGCCTGCACTCTGTATTTTTATATTGTTTTATTTATGTATTTGTTTATTATTTATTTGGAGACAATCTCACCATGCAGCCCACTCAGGCTGATATCAAACCTTTGATCCTTGTGCCCCAGTCTCCTGAGTGTTGGGATTCCAGACCCACCCCAGTGCACCCGGCCAGTCTGTTTTTAAGAAGCCTGGAGGGTGATTCTAATACATGGTCAAGTCTGAGAGCTACTGGGATAGACTATGTAATAATATGCCGTGGCGTCCTTCAGACCGGACCTTCAACCTTGGCTCTGTGTTACCTTAACAGTCACATACTTCCTCATAGCCTTCCCCAACAGGGGTCAGAATATCCACTTGAAAGTGTGGGTATAGTGATTGTGTGGCCTAATATCTTTTTCAGACTCACAGAAAGAGTTGGTTAAATTACCCCCCTATGCCACTGTCTTCTGGAGTCAGGCAAACCACAATTTAACTTTATCCTTAATGGACCTGGCCCTTGACTAAAACGTTTCTTCGCTAGACCTTAGTTTCCTGCAGAATACACAGTGCAGACAATAGCACACATTCCAGAGATAGCCGGGGACGGGGTGGAGGGTGGTGGTGGTCCAGATGGTTTATGGAAACTGTCTGGTTTAGTTGATACTTCAGAAATGCTAGATTCTCCCACTGTCCACTGATCCCTGATCCTCCTGGAACCGAGCGCTGCTGGCTCATCCCTGCTCCATGAAACTGTGTAATCTCATCTGTGCTGAGCGGTCAGTAATGCCTTCTTCCAGGGGAAGGGGATGGAGGGCACACCAAGCCCTGGAGCCCAGATGCCCTTCACTAACACTGGGCTTGGCTTTATGGGCATTGAGATTCCATCCTTAGTTGGCTACTGGGCTCTGGGCATTAGCTCTCTTACCTAGAACGGAGAGCATGACACTGGATGAACTCTTACCAGAATGCATGCAAAATCCCTGGTACACAATGGGTGCTCAGTAAACATCACAATCGTGTCCCTTCTTTTCATCAGATCTGCGTTCAGATTCTGAATTTGCCACTTCCTAGCTGTTGACCTAAGTGGACCCATTGCCCTATCCAAGCTTCCGGTTTGTCCTCTGCTCTGTGGTCTGGACCACACTGGAGAGACTCTGAGGATTAAGCAAGCTGATGTTTATGGTAGTGCTGTCCCCGGCCCATAATTGGTACATCACTGGCATCCTCCATTGGCTTTGGCATCAAAACATCCAGTTTTTAATCCTCTTCTATCACATGTTAGAAGGTTGGTAGAAGGGGATTTATCTGGCACTCACCTCCCTGCTGTATGAATTCAGATAATTAATTCAACAAACATTTCTTGTTAAGACTCGCAGTCAGTCAGACTGAGTTACTTTTTCAAGATCACACAGACTGTCTGTGGGCCTGTCAGGGGACTGGTTCTGCATTCTTGATACTTTCTGTGAGTACCCCTGCATGCTGGCCGCTTCACTGAGCTCCTCACACACAGCGTACTCAGTTTTATCCTGACACCACCCAAGTTTTCTAAATCCCATTTTACAGAATGTGCAAGCAAGACCATCTCTGTCGCGCTGTCCCTCCTTGAAGGTCTCCGAGAAGGGACTCCAGAACCAGGAATCCCCAGGCCATCTCCGCCTCCCACTCTCCCAGCCACGCCCCTCCCCGAGGGAGACTCCTTACCTGTCCTGGCCTCCTGGGAGTCCAGCGCGCCTGTCTCCAAAAGGCGCCTCCGGGGCTGTTTTCTGCCCCGGAGGCCCCGCTGCGCCTCACTCCTGCGGAGGCCCGGCGGCCCCCTCCTTTCCTGTGTTCCCGTCCCCCGCGGCTGAGGCCGCATCGATCGCTGCCGGGGGAGGGAGGGAGGCCGCGGGCGGCCGGAGGCGCTGGTTTCTATTCTTGCCTGGGATGGATGGGGGCCTAACAGCTGGGAGTATCCTTCAAAGTCAGAGCCTGGAGGAATGGGACATTAGGGAATGGGGACACCCTTGGAGAAAGGTTTTAAGCTCTGGCCCAGGAATGACAGAAACCACGATTTGCTTAATTTAGTGATTAATATAGGCCAGGCACTAGTTCAAGGGACTTAGCCCAGGCATTTTTGACACCAATGTGGTTCTTAAGCTTTTGACTTAATATGTGACATCCGGGTACTTGCTCAGACTGTGGAGGTCTGAGATGGGAGGCTGGGGAACTGCTTCATCTCCTTGGAGCCCCAGCTGTGCCTGCTAAGGCTCTAGTGCCCTCTTCTCCCCAAGTGAGTTGTGAAGCCAGCAACCCATCCTTCTGTCCGGGAGGCTCAGAACTCCCACTCACCTAGAGAATCCTGATTACTTCCTTCCAGGAGGGCTGGGGAGTGGGGCACGCAGACAACCGTTACTTAGTAACGCCCATCCTCCAGCATTTTTTTGGGTAGCTGATATGTGTGCTCCTTCACTCATAACAACAGTCACCAATACGGGCCCCATCCCATCCATCATTGGCTGGGTGAGATGTTATTCCTCAGCTGGAGGTGTAAGTCTTAAGAAGCACCTGCCTCTCTCTAGGCCATGTGGCGGAGGTTTACACCAAGTTTACAACATAGGATGTGAGCCGCCCTATGCCCTTTACAGGTTCTGGACCGGGAATGAGGTTCAGTGCTGCCTGTTGGCCATGAAGCCCTCGGGGCTGATGTCCAGTACTGCACTGCGCAAACCAGGCCCTGTCGTTTATAGCTGTAACTCCGGCAGTGGGCGCAAAGGTGGGAAGATAGGAAGTTCAAGGTCATCCTTGCTTGGATGATGAGTTCTAGGTCAGTTGGGATACTAAGATACTACCTGAGTTTGTTTGTTTGTTTTGTTTCTGATAGCAGCATTAAAAAAATAAAAATAAAAAGAGGGTTGAAAAGATGGCTCAGCAGTTAAGAGCACTAGCTGCTCTTCTGGAGGTCCTGAGTTCAATTCCCAGCAGCCACATGGTGGCTCACAATGGTCTATGACTATAGTCCCATGGGAGCTGATGCCCTCTTCTGGTGTATAGACAAACATGTAAACAAAATACCATATACATAAATAAATATCTTTTTTAAAAAAGATGAGTTTTTAAAAATAATGTATTTTATTTAACTCAATATACCCAAATATAATTTTAACATGACATAATAAAGAAATTAATAATGAGATACTTTCTATAATCACTTTTAGGCTAAGTCTTCAAAATGTAGTATACTAGGTTTTTTTTTATTGCAGTGTTACGAATTATCATAATTTCTGCAGCCCCTACCCTACAAACTGGTCATCTCACCATTTCTGTAATCAGAAGTCTGTGAATGGCGTAGCTAGACTCTGTACTCATCATGCGTGTTTAAATGTATGTGAGTGTGTGTATGTGTGTTAGTATATGCGTGTGTGTATATGCTGTTAGTGTATATGTGTATATATGTGTGTTAGTATATGTATGTGTATATGCTGTTAATATATGTGTGTGTATATGTGTATGAGTGTTAGTATATGTGTATGTGTGTTAGTGTAAGTGTGTGCTTGTGTATGTGACTTACTGATTTGCTTCTAGAGTATGGTGATGACATGTCCCTTCTGTGATTAGATTATGTAAGGTTATGACTTCTGTTGACTTTAATGAAGCAAGTTACCATGGTGGAAGGGCAAGTAAATGAGGGTAACTTCTGGCCACTGCCAGCTGGGTGTCTGGTTCCTTCACCCTCACAGAGCTGAAATGCTGCCAGCAAAGGCTTGCGAGCAAAGGCTTTTGCAGCTGAGGCTTAGATAAGACTCCCACTCAGGCTGAGTGCAGCTTCATTAGGACACTATGACTCAATAAGTGTTCATCGTTTAATCCACTTTACTTATGGTAGCTTGATACTCAGCAATAGATAAGGCCTTTGCTACTGGATTCCTGTGTGACCTTGAACCAAGTGTCTCTTCTTGGCTGTTTCTCTCCTTATGTGCAAATGAGAACATATCTCCATTCTGGATTTCAGAGCGGGTTAGCACATGCTGTGCCATCCCCACAAATAACTTTCCCCATCCTTTGCTTTCAGGCTAAGTTAGCTGCAGGAACAGAAATGGACTCACAGTGGCTTCACAAGAGAAGAGCCTGACTTTTACGGTAGGATACGGCTGGCATAGTTGCTCATGAGCAGCACTGACGATCAGGCTCCTTGGGACTCCCTCCTCTACCCTCTGGTGGGGCCCTCCTCCCAGGAGTGGAGGGTGCTGGTGCTTTATGCACAGCCTCTTGAGGATCCATTAGCCTTGTGTGCACACTGGCTCCTGGAATGCCTTTTGACAAGCTTGTCTGTGCCCCTTTGTTAAAGCTTGCCCCAGGCTGTCGAAGCCTTGCATGGCTAGCAAGTGGAGAGCTGAAGTGAGAGCTGCACTTGTTCTGCACTTGCCCTGTGGGCTTCATCCACTGTCACACTCTCATGAGCCTCTTCTCCTGGTGTACTTCTCTATGGCATCCGGCACCCTCCACTCCCCCCTCCCCCCCCCCTCCCAGGAACACTTCTAAATCAGCCTCACCAAATGAATCTGTATGCCAAGATTCCTCCTGGGGGAGCCCAACCAAGACAGTTCTCTAGGCTGTAGGTGTAGGTAGCCGCCAGGAAGTGTGAGGGTTCCTAGGAGGAGGGGCAAAAGGCTGACTTTGTCTCATCAGTGGGATAAACAGTGGCTTTCTAGGAAGGCCTTCCCAGTAGACTAATTTCTGCTTCTGACTGGTCAGTCTTGAGCCACATGGACATCTCTAGCTGGAAGGAAAACAAGAGGGAAAAAAGAAAATACCTTTTAAGGTTAATTTAACTTTTAAAATCAGTATAGGCTGTTATTAAAGTACACAAATACACGGTTGTGGCTGAACTAGCATTTCAGGTTTCTACCTCTGTGTTGCCCTGGGCAATATGTAGAACGTCATACGCATTCCAGTAGCTGAGAGGTATGGACAATATTTCTAACTGGAGACACTATTGTCGCGAAGGAAGGAGGGGAGAATGAATGGTTAGCATGTCACACTTTCCACTAAAACTCAGGGTTTGGGCTTGGACAGCTTCCAGGATCAATTAGGCCTCTCCTGGCCTCCAGTAGCCTGGCAGGCCTTTGCAGCCTGGGTATATCATGTAGATTCCTCCCTGGGCCTTTATCTCATCTTCTAGAGTGTGAGGCATGGCCTGTAGCCCGTAGTAAGTGCTCAGCAAACACAATTGAATGAATAAGGGCAGGGAACAAGATTGGCGTTTGTAAAGGAACCAGGTGCCTAGCATGCCAGGAGACTTTCCACAAGGGTGGGGGAGAGAGGCAGTGGGTTTGCGGCAGCAGTTAGGCAGCTGAGGACTGAGGAGACACTGCGTAGACAAGGCTAGTCTCCAAGAAGCAGATGGTGAGTGGGCCAGGAACTGGGCTAGAGGGATTGCATGACTATAAGCCACGGCCTGTGATCTGGCACCTCCTGTCACTCCAGGGACCTAGCTCAGAATTTGGAACCACTGGAGAGCCATGGGACCACTGGCCTCCAAATTTTAGCTGGCTTATATGGGAACTTCCTTCCAGAGCCTCTGAATTTTCATCCTCTTCTCCCTCAAGAATAAAACCCAGGACTATCAGGTGTGAACCAGCAGGCCTCTGATGTCTATGATTGAGCCTGTTCACAAAACCTTCTTGGAGCTGGGCGGGCCTCACTTTTTCATCTGTGGACACTGTTATTAAAGTGTCCACCTACTGGAACTACTTAATAAAGATATAAAGAATTGGGACTCAACTGTTCCAGGTTGAATCCTAGCTCTAGTATGTGTGACTCCTTTGGCTTTGTCCAAATTAACATCTTTGTACCTCAGTTCTGTTTGTATGTGAAACAGAGAGAAACCCAGTAGGCCTGTGAGGATTCAGTGGGATTGATTGTCCATGTGAATGAAGGGATATGGGGCACAGGGTGGGTACTCTGCAATGTCTTCTTCTGTTCCTGTGACGAAACACTCTGACAGAAGCAGTGGAGAGGCAAAGGGTTTATTTCAGCGCACAGTTCAAGATACAGTGCTTCATTGGCAGGGGAGTCAAGGCAGCAGATGCTTGAAGCAGTTGGTCACATGACGTCTGCATTCAGAAGAGAGCAATGAGTGCGTGCATGCGCTGTTCGGCTCACTCACTTCGTTTTGTCCAGCTCAGGATCCAATTCCTAGGGAATGGTCCCACCCACAGTCAAGATGGGTCTTCCCACGTCAATTAGAATATCAAGATAATCCCCCACAGGGATGCCCAGAAGCCGGTCTCTCCAGTAATTCTAGATTCTGCTAAGTTGGCAATTTATAAACTAACCATTACAGGTAGTTTATAACATTACATACACTATCCCCTAGGGAATCTGTGGAAGGGAAGGGACATGGTGGACAGCGACTATGAACCTCGGTATTATCTGTGTTAATGGGATGGGTGAGGAAACTGAGGCCCAGAAGGAGGCAGAGAAATATCCAAGATGGCACAGATCCCGTGACTCCAAGAGAGCTTTCTTTTTTCCCAGATGTCACCTTGATCCATGTTGTTAGCAACTGTTACTATGAGTCAACAGTTCAGGCATTGGAATCTAGTGAGAAGGGCTGTGATAGCCAGAAGGTGGAACTTGGTCCATCTTCCCGACTGCAGACAGAAGTGGTTGGTGCAGGGCTCGCCTGGGCTACACAGCAGCTCGCCTGGACTACACCACAGCTCGCCTGGGCGACACAGCAGGGTCACAAGAACAGGAGCAGGAGAGCCAGAATTCCCAAGTCCACCTCTATAGTAGCCTGCGTCCAGCAGACAAAAGGAGGCTCCGCAGAGAGAGGGGCAGGGGTAACTCTTTCCCCTCCTGACAGTCCTGGGGAGGAAGGACAGTCAGGAATTCAGCTGTCTGGGTCCAAGGAATGGATAGATCCTTGCTGACTCCTCTCAGGAAGCCCCCATTAGGCCCTGACTACAGGCTGGGCTCCAGGGAAATCAAGACAAGTGAGACACAGCCCAGCGGCGGAGACAGACCTACTCTACACAGGGCATCCCAACCGCTGGAGCACCTTTCCCTGGATGTGGGACAATTGGAATGATCTCAGCGAGCGCTTGGCTACAACCTGAGATCCTACAGCATCAACCCTGCAGTGCGAGGCTCTCTTTTCGCTCCCGACTCTGCCCAGGGAGCTGACTCAGTCGGAGCTCTGCTCTCTGCCATCTCTTTAACCCTTGTTAATCTCCATTTATTAAAACAGAGACAGGCTCTGCCTTGGCGGGTGGCCCTATCTAGCTAGAATTTAATGGTATTATTTAAATCGAGCATAAATTAACTTAAGGGAACTGCTGTTTTCATTACAGTTGGCTTCACAATTCCATTCCGTTTCTGACCAGTGATCTTGCAGATCTCACTTACTGTAGTGACCCCCTGCCACACACACACCATCCTTTGGAAATGAATTGTTACACCCAAAAGTGAGCCATTTAAATGAAGACATCAAGTAACTCGATGTACAGGGGGTGCTTTACACAACTTAACACGTTACAGTGTGGCTGTTACGGATTGTAACAGCTTGTGTTTGGGAAATTCTGCTAGACGTACATTTTCGGGGAAGGACTGTTGGAGGTGGGTCCAGGGCTCCGTAGAGAAGGGGTTGCCTGAGTTGGCATTTTAAGTGGAGGAAACAGAATGTACAGGGAGATGTAAAAATGGCTATGAGGTAGGGTGGGAAGCTCAGCGTGGCAGGGGATGGGGAGCTGGAGTGATGAGATGTGTCTTCAAGGTCTTCTGTGGACCTTGGCGCACAGGAGGAGAAACCAGGAGGCATGAGTTGTAGGGGAAGTGGCAACAGGCCAGTGTCTCTCAGAAGGTAACAACTGCTCTGGAGGGATGACCTGGGTGGCAGGATCCCTGGCCCCCTGTCGTGATCTCTTCCTGGTGGGAACCACACCTGAGGTGCAGAGCCACAGATCTTAAGCTGGAATTAGCCTAAAGAAAGGGAAAGAAAGGCTTAACTCTTCTTCTGTAAGGAAGTTAGATCCCATCAGTCCAACTCATGATTGCTAAGTCAGGACTCCCCAGCCTCCTCCAGAAGGGCAAACTGACATCAAGGCAGCTCGGGACGTGGTCTCCACGCCCAGTAAGAAGAGAACGGAGGGAGCCGGTTTCTCTGCCACGCTAATGGGAGCCCGTGCACCTCCTTCTCCAGCTGTGGCCATGTGGGGGGCCTCGCTTCTGAGGGAGGTGTCCTGCTGAGACTAGAGCTAGGCTGGAGGGGAAGGCACGGTCCTGGCCCCCAGGAGTGGTACCTTTGCTGGGGTCTCGGCAGTCCCGGCCACAGGCGCTGAGGCAGCATCGCTTCTTGCCTGAGCAGTCGAAGTCTTTGTTACACGTGTGCTTTTTAGGACTGAGGCAGTGGAGTTTATCCACGGGGCACTTGCCCAGCTTTACTGCAATACAGGAGCTTGAATGAGTCTTGCTTGTGCCCGCTAGCCCTGGGGCTTGGGGTTTGGGTGGTTGGCACAGTGAGGGGCCATTTACCTGAGACCCTGGGGACGCACTGGCGGAAACAGGCTCTGGAGCAGCACTTCATAGATGAGGGACACTGGCGGTCATTCATGCACTGGTCAGGAGTCACCTTGAGGCAAGGTCCGTCGTCTGGTGGGCAGCCCCCCATTTTTTCTGCACGAGAACCCTCACATCATGTAACCAGAGGCAGCTCAGGGTTGTGTAACAACCACTGACTTGGGGATCGCAGGTTCTAACCTCTCAGTCTCATTTCTTGCTTGCCACCAGGATGAGCTTTATAGTTTTTTTTACCATCTAGGGCTAATTTGACATTCAAGTGGCATAACAGATAGGAGAAAAATGAAATTAAAATCTCAAGCTACAGAGATCACTCAACTGAGAATTTGATCCTCAAAACCCATGTTAAAAAAAAAAAGTGTGGGCTTAGGAGGGGTGGGTGAGGGGGTGTGATATGCGCTTGTAATCCTAGCCCCTAGGAGGTGAAGACAGGTTGATTACTGAGGCCTGCTGGCCAGCCAGCCTGGCCTACTAGATGAGTTCAAGGTTAATGAGAGACTCTGATTCAAAAACAAGGTAGGAGTCACTTGAGACGTGACACTCTAGTCTCCCTCAAGTTGTCCTCTGGTCTCCATGCCTCCACACATATGTGCACCTGTCCACACATATGTGCAAACATACATACCGATGCATACACACACAGTCTCACCTCAGACAATAAGACGGTGCCTGGTCTGGACCCTGCCCACCTGCACCTCCTTGGCCTCATTCTCTGTCACCCCTACTTTCCTGCTCACAGGCTCCTGAGCTGCTCCAAGGTGGCTCCTGCTCGCTCTCTGCAAGGCTCTGGCTTTGCCTGGTACCGTCTTCCACCCTGGCCACTTGATCAGTTTGTTGATCTCAGTTGAAATGTCACCCCTGCAGAAGACCCTGCTGCTCTGAGCCCATGGAGCCGGGTCAGCACTGGGGTGTGTGCCTGCAGCTGTCTGTCCCTCTCATGGGCTGAGACTTGTCACCTGCCTGCCCTGTTCTCCACGAGCACAGCACAGTGCACAGCACTCGGACTGTAATGGCCCTTTGGAAGAGGGGCATTTGAAGGGAGGCCCAGTGTTGGGTGTGTGCCAGCTGCTTACCAACGAGGCACATCTGCCCTGCTATGCCCGCCACTTCAGATTCGGGCATCAACTCTGTCTTTGAGCCTTTGCTCCTAACAGTTCTAGAATGTTCTGCTTGGAGTTGATCTAATTAGTCTTCTTGTGATGTCACACACAAGTTGGAAATCCTACTCGTTGACACATTTTCTATGAGTTACACACACACACACACACACACACACACACACACACACACACACACACCACTCACTATATCCATTTGGAGGGAGAAATTAAAGCCCCACAAGGACAGTGATCCGCCTACCCCAACGCCGGCCTAGGCTGGAACTCTCAGGGTGTGGCTCCCTTTAATCGGTTCATTCTGCTGTGGCTGCTTTGAGCTATAGGGAGGGGGCTGATTGAACTTCAGTTCAGTATAGCATCATGGTTGGATCCATCATGATGTGATCCCGGGGACCCTCTTCCAGAAGTTCTCCCTGCCTCTACCCTGCAACCCACCCTACCCAGCTCCACCCACCCACCCACCCACCAGAAGCTCTCCACTCCTTGCTTAGAGTTCAGACAGCTCCATTGGCTCGGTGGGTGTCAACCTTCTTCTTTCTGTCCCTGCCTGGGCACTGGCTGTGCACAGAGTAGGTGGTCCTTTGTGGACCCGTCAGCCTTAGTTCTTAAACTGATGGTTTAAGCTGAACTGCTGCCCCCTGCTGGAGAGTGAGCAGCTTAGCCTGGGAGGGAGCACACATTCTGAGGAATGTCTTCCTTGGGAGAATGTGGGTATTTGGGAGGGAAGAAGGTGTGAGTGTGAGTGTGCGTGTGTGTGTGCGTGTGCGTGTGCGTGTGTGTGTGTGTGTGTGTGTGTGTGTGTGTGTGTGTGTGTGTTTGTGCCGGGGCGGGGGAAGTGCCTTTGGAGACTATCTACAGGCCAAGATTTAGTATCAAACTCACAAGCCCAGTGCAGGGATGCTCAGGCCTCAGACAGTGGGTCAAATGGAGTTGCCTGGATCCTAAGCAAGGAAGCAGAAACTTTTAGGGGGCTGGGGGTGGAGTGGTGTGCATTCTGGTGGAGCGTAGGTTGCAGGATAGAGGCAGAGAGAACTTCTGGAGGAGGGCCCAGGGGTTGGATTCCAGGGACTAGACTGATAGGGAGGGAACAGAAAATTGGTGTTTTAAGTGGAACAAACTGTCAGTGCCACAGTGTGGAGACAGACATAAAAGCCTGGAATGTACAGAGAGAGGTGCAGGGCTTTGGGTGGTCACACTTCCCAACCTGATCTCCTTACCTTCCCTCCACACCCGGGTTTCCTACTCGCTGACACATTTTCTATGAGTCACACACACACACACACACACACACACACACACACTCCCCCCCCACTCTCACATTCTCTCTCTCTCTCCACACACACACACACACACACACACACACACACACACACACACACACCACAGCTGATGTGTAGACACCATACCTGTGTAGCAACCATACCTGGGCATGGTTCAGTCAATGTACTCAGCTCCACAGATGAAGGCAGATGCAGGAGCACGCCTTGCCCTTGATACGCATAACTCTACACAACTGCCAACACCCTGACATTCGAAGGAGGAGCGTGGGCTCCTGTAAACAGCAGTGGCTGAGCTTCCACCTAGACAGACTGAGGTTTTCCTTCCCCCAGCCCTGTCACCTTCTGTCACCGTCTGAGACTCTGCTGGCAGCCAGGCAGATGTGTCGTGGGAGAGGAACCAGGGCAGGATGGATTGACACGAGTCGGTGATGGTAAGTGTGTCACACCTGGCCAGGCAAAGCAGGCCCAAGCTCTGGTGGAACCAGGTCTCTCAGCCTGGGTGTGGTGGCAGGACTGCTCTCTTAGGCCACCTCAGTCGCTCCACACATCACCACAAATGTACTTATGGGCACACCTGACATTTATCCTTCAAGGCCCCATTTCCTCCTGAGAGGAAAGTTGGCGAAGTGAGCCTTCTGAGGTACAAGGACCATGATCAGACCCACTTTTGATGTCATCTTGGTCTTTGGCCTTGGGCAGGTGGTTTTTACCACTGTGCCTTGGCTTCTTTATCAGTAAAATGGATAAAAACAGTACTGACTCACTACAACACTGTGATGGTTGCCTGAATCACAGTCAACACGAGGTCTGGCCTTGGAACCTCCTAGCAGCCTTCCACCCTTAGCCAGGGATCTCCGAGCACCATCCTCCCCAAACCAGCTCATGCCCCAGGCAGAGACCTGTGCCTCTCAGAAAGGCATAATCCAGGGTAAAAGGAAGGGGTGCCATGTAGAAACGGCTCTCTTCATCTGCCTACCCTACACAGGCTTCCCCAGGCTTGGAGGAGTCTTTCCACAGAAGCAAGGCCAGCTCTGCAGAAGTGAAGGTAGGTCAAAGCATTCTAGCCTGGGGGTGGGGGTGGGGTGGGGGGGCGGGGGAGTGGCCTCCCCCAGACAGGGCGGCCCCTGTGTAACAACACCTGTGCGTCCTTCCTGTCAACACACCAACCTGAGCTTTGTGGGAAATGGCTCTGACACAGGGGAAGGAAGAAGAGAGGCAAAAGCAGAGATTTCTCCCGTCAGACCCCAAATCACAGGGGCCACATTCCTTACTAACTCCCAAGTCCCTTCTACAGGTCCCTGGGGGTCCAGAGGAGGCTTACACCCGTTAACACAATCAGAATGGTAGGTATGCTTTCCCCTATACAGAGAGACACATGGATGCATGCAGACATGTCCATAAGCGCAGACACACTAAGCTTATATATATAGATAGTGCTTTGCTCAGACAGGAACCTTGAAAATGTTCCTGGAGTGTACAGAGAGAGGTGCAGGGCTTTGGGTGGTCACACTTCCCAACAACGTTCCTCGTGTCCTTGAAAACGTTCAGATGTGATTGTAGGCACAGACAGGCATGGAGAAAGTGGCAGAGGTCGTTGACAGGTGAAGACACAAGCATGAACAAGCATCATGTACAAATAAAAATGCAGGCTCCTGGGAGCACTGAAGTGTTTGGAGAGACAGACAGACAGACAGACAGACAGACACACACACACACACACACACACACACACACACACACACACACACACATCACTGACTCTCCCAAAGGCCTCACTCTCCATAGACAGGAAGAAGCCTCCTGGCCCCTGGAGCAGAGGGATTCACGACACTCACCTCCCTTGTTCCTGCACCAGGCCACAGGCAGCTGGGTCTCCAAAGCCAGGAGGACTACCAGGAGGAGGGAGCTCTGGAGTCTCATGTTTCTTTTGTGGCACCCAGTAAGCTCAGGGCCCAGAGGCCCCCAAATTAACACCTACAGCTCCAGGGATGCCAGAGCAGATGAGTCAGGGGAGGAGGACCAGAGGACAATTAGAGTGGCTTGTGTTTCCCTGATCTCGTCCCCACCCTGCTGCCTGATATCTTCAAGGCAAGGGGTGTTTGTGCAAGAATTGAAGGCAGGTGGCAGAGGTCCTTGTGTGGGGACTGGGATCTAGTTCTGCCTGTATTGCTGACTTGGCCTCTGAGTATTAGGCAAGTCTTGCCGTCTTTGGGCCTCAGTCTTCTCATCTGTATCGTGGGGAGTGGAGGAGGGGTTATAATGAAAGCCACACACGGTGACTTTCCTTTAAGGCAGTTTAACTTACATGGCCGGCTCTGCCTGGGAACGTAAGCCTTGGCCACCTCCACCCTCTGACGACAGGCATCTGGAACATCTGGTACAACAGGCCAGTTTATTGTGCCCAGAGATGCATAAGGAGATGGCACTGAACTTGTTCTGTGAACATGCTTACTAAGTATATAATTCTTCCATTGGTTTCCTTTGGCCAGTTCCCCAGTTACTCCCCAATGCCTGTCCAACCTGTACTGGAGATGAAACCCAGGGCCTCTCACATGCTAGGCAAGCATTCTACCTCCGAGTTGCATTCCTCACCCCTTTAACTTTTAAGTTTTGAGACAAGGCCTGGCTAAGATTCCTAGCCTGGCATTGTCCTTGCTGCTCTGTAGCCCAGTCAGTCCAGACTTAGGATGTTCCTGCCTCAGTTTCCCGAGTAGCTTTGATTACAGGCCTGCACCATCAGGCCCAGCATAGCCCTCTTCCTTCCTCAACATTCAGTGCAATTTTCCTACAAAGGGAATTTTACTGCTCCGTAGCATGAGCTCTGCTTGCCAGTTATCCCTGCCTTCTTCAGAACACTGAGGAATACTCTCTGAACTCATGCCTCCAGGATCTCAGTTCCTAAGACTCCAAGCAAAGTCCTTTTTATTTGTGCATGTCCTGAGTTCGGCTTCGTTGATGGTGTGCAGGGTGATAGTTTGGTGAGATATTTGCCCCCCTGACTCTCTTAAGGTCTTGAAGCTCCCACAGTGTCTTATACAAGGGGTAGGAATCAGTTTGGATGGCAAGGTGCCAAGAAATGGGGACAGCAAAGGGCCAGGGTTGGGACTTCCTTCTGGAGAAGTTGGCTCAGGTTGGCATGGTGAATGAGGCCAGGCCTAGCCTCTCATCTTGGGACCCTGTGGATGGAAGTGAGACCAACATCCTTGAGGAGGTCACTTCCAAAGACATCTAGTGGCGTTGCCCTTTGCCTGGGCTGGCATGGCTCTGCAGGATGGATAGAGCATCTATTCAGTTTGACTGAATTCTCTGGCTAGAGCTAATGTATGTGTCAATGAGATTCCTGTCCTCCCTGGCCTCCTGAGCAAATCACCCTCCTTTTACTAAGGGGCCACACCCTAAGTGTCACACCTGAGATGATGTCTCTGCCCTTGGTGGAAGAGAGTAGCTCAGGCGTGGCATCCCATGGGGACCCAAATGGAAACTCCAGAGCACAGTGCTCCATCAACACTGGGACAATCAAGACCTTGCCCCAACTCTCCCATTCAAAAGATGAGGAACATGTTAGCCAGATGTGGAAGTGGACTGCTCCAACAACACACACCTAATTCCTAGGTGACTTCCTGGATATTGAAAGCAGGGGAACACTTCATGTGACCCTGAGGTGACATTCCAGGGTTTGTCTCACTTACCCAGTCCCACCCAGTCTGGGACCAAGCAGGAAGGCTTGGGTTCAACTTGAATCCTTTATGCTGTGTTTTAAGCCCTCAGGAAAGGAGGGGACCTTGTCATGTAGGGGCTGATGATATTTTAGAATTCTGGCACATTTTTTGCAGCTTTATTCTAGTGGGGAAATTTTATGGGCTCCATTTCCCCCAGTTATAAATTGTACACATCCATTGACGACATGCTATTCCAGTTAAGATTATTTTGTAGACATTCTCTTGTGCTGTAAAGTGTTCTCTAAACACCAGGGGTTCGGATGGCAGTGTGCTGTTTTAAAAGACAAACCCATGTGAACTGCTCTTTGCTGGAAGATGGGCAGGTTTCTGATCTTTCCTTTTCACAATCCCAGTCTGGAGTTCTGGAGTCACATCTCAGACACTTTTTTAAAAATTTGTTTAAACAGAAATATTGGGTCAAAGAGCATGCTGGATTTCTCCAGGCTGCGGATATACCTGGTCAGCATTCATTTCAGAAGTCAAAAGGAAGAGGAGACCCTCCATCTGTCCTGCATAGACACCTGCCATTTTGTCTGCCCCCTGTGTCTGCCCTTGGTAGATCCACTGCTTCCTGACCCAGCTCCTTTAATTCTGGTCGGTTGTCATTTACCACATATTTCTGCTGACACAGGAGAAAGTGCTGGATCCAGGTGAGACCACTAGATTCCCGCCCCTCACCTGCCCACCTCTCCCCTGCCTACCCCTCACCTGTCCACTCCTCCCCTGCCCACCCCTACCCTGTCCACCCCTCACCTGCCCACCCCTCACCTGCCCACCCCTCACCTGTCCACCCCTCACCTGCCCACCTCTCCCCTGCCTACCCCTCCCCTGCCCACCCCTCGCCTGCCCACCCCTCCCCTGCCCACCCCTCGCCTGCCCACCCCTCCCCTGCCCACCCCTCGCCTGCCCACCCCTACTCTGTCCACCCCTCACCTGTCCACCCCTCACCTGCCCACCCCTTACCTGCCCACCCCTCACCTGCCCACCCCTACCCTGTCCACCCCTCACCTGTCCACCCCTCACCTGCCCACCCCTCACCTGCCCGCCTCTCCATCTGAGTCCTAAGCAGAGAAGGCTCTGCTCACATGAGGACACTCCAAAGTTTTGTTGCTGCTGCCCATGGCCAGATAGTTCCTGGACACACCCAACACAGGATATTTAAAAAGAAAAAAAACACAAAAAACAAAAAACAAACTAAATAAAACCTCCACTAATGGAAGCTTCTCATCTTCATTGGTCTTCCTTGGAATATTGGTGAGAGTAAACTTTTCTCATGTTTCCACTTCACTTTGCTTGGAGTATTTTCCCCTTTTGTGAATGGCTTGCTCTCACATTTTGCTAAATTTTGTTGGATGTCTTCTTATTTTCATTTTTGAGCTACACGATCATGATTTTTTTTTTTTTTTTTTTTTTTTTTTTTTGGTTTTTTGAGACAGGGTTTCTCTGTGTAGCTTTGCGCCTTTTCCTGGATCTTGCTCTGAAGACCAGGCTGGCCTCGAACTCACAAAGATCCACCTGCCTCTGCCCCCCAGTGCTGGGATTAAAGGCGTGTGCCACCACCGCCTGGCTACGATCATGATTTTTTTAAAAGAGCTGTTTATATCTTAAGGATGCTGTATGTGAGCGGTAATAGAGCGATTTGTTGGATATGTGCTGGCCAGACAGACCTGGTTTTGAGTTTTAGTATTACCAAGTCCTAGTTGATTTGAACTTTCATAAACCTCAGCTGTTCTTCTATATGATGGACAGAAATAATATTTATCTTATAAGCTAGTTTGGAGAACTGAATAAATTTGATAAATGCTTATTCTAATTCTCTATTCCAAATGCATTTTCATTTTTTTGGACTTGTACCAAAGTTTTAAATTTAAGGGTGATCAAACCAGCCTTTTCACTTACATTTGCTTTATTTAAATATCTACTTATCAATTCTAGTTATATAAATGAAAAGATTTCGTTATGAGAGTTCCATACATGCACATACTATACTTTGATAATGTTCATCCTTGTGTTGCCCTGTCTTTAAAAAAAGATTGATTTCTTTTTATTTTATGTGTATGAGTGTTTTGCCTGGCTGCATGTATGTCCTTCATATGAGTGCAGTGCTTGAGGAGGTCAGGGAAGGACATAGGATCCCTGGACATAGGATCCTGGAAAAACAGGAGGTTATGAGACACCATGTAGAGACTGCGAACCGACTTGAACCTGGGTCTTCTGTGAGAACAGCAAGTACTTTCAACTGCTGGGCCGTCTCTTCAGACTCAAAAATCCAAATTTCTGTTACTAATTAGCAACCAGAATTTAGTAAAAATCCTTGTCATATATGTTATAGGGTATTCTAGCATCATTTCTGTAGATGTGATAAAATATCCTGACAAGAAGCAACTTAGAAGAAAAACTTGATTTTATCTTAATTCCACCTTACAGTTGTGGGGGAGTCAAAGCATCAAGGTGGGGAAGGTCAATATAGATACGTTACGTATGGATAGGTTACATCACAATTACAGTCAGGATCAGAGAGAAACAAGCCCAGCCATGCTCACTTGCCTGTGCTCAGCTTAATTTCCCCATTCTTACACACTTCAAGATTCCCTGCATAAGGAATAGTGCTGCCCACAGTGGGCTGGGTCTTCCCACATCAGTTAGTGTAAATAAGACACCACCCATAGACATGGTGACACGTTAACCTCACATAGGCAATCCCCATTGAGACTTCCCAGGTAATTCCAGGTTGTGTCAGGCTGACAAGTGAAGCTTACCGTTATAATATACTGTTGCTGGGTTTCTGCTCTTTTTCTTCAGTTCTTTTTTGTTTGTTTATTTGTTTTCAAGACAGGGTTTCTCTGTGTAGCTCTGGCTGCCCTGGAACTCTCTCTGTATACCAGGCTGGCTTTGAACTCAGAGATCTGCCTGTCTCTGCCTCCTGAGTGTGAGGATTAAAGGTGTGTGCTTCCGCTTCTTTGTTTATTTTTGATCCAGTACTGTTGTAATAGTTATAGCTTCATGATGTCTAAGTGACTTCTGGTATCCATAAATTCTACTAATTTACATTGTCACTTCTTACATCATAGTCTTTCATTGCCCAATATGAACTCGATGAGTATTTTATTAAGTTGAAAAAAATCCCACTGATTGCTATTAACAATTTTTACCACCATTTCAAAAACATGCAGAAGAACAGTAACCCTTTTTATGAAGCTC